AACGCATTAGAGAAATAATGGGAATCAAACAAACAATCACAGATAACCTAGCAACAAAATAACTGATCTGGTTCGAACACATACAAAGAATAGATAAATAATAAAAACCATAAGAAATATTAAAATAGCAACCAGGAGGACAGAGAAAACGAGGTAGATCAAGAAAAGTTAGAGCGAAGGAATAAATAAAGAGCTGAGAGAAAGGACCGTTGAAGAAGACTTATGGAACAACCTGACTAAGTGGCGATTGGAAGTCGGACAACGGCGGAGAACGTTATAAACTGACAAATAGTAAAAGTAGTTAACAAGTATATCGTGGGAGCCTCCACCTGATTTTTTTAGATCTTTATCTGTCTTTACAAATCATACTACGGCCCCGAGTCTCCGGCGTCCCTTTAATGGGACAGGGGTGCTAAGAATCTCCGGAGGGAAAAATTAAAAAATATAAAAATAGATCATTAATAAAACGTATTACTACGTGGAATATTGGAACTTTATATCAATCAGGAAAGCTAAAAAATGTACAACTCGAAATGAAATGTCTGGGCCTGCAAGTCCTTTGAATTAGCGAAGCTAGATGGACCGGATCGGAAACTGTAAAAAGTGGAGGTTATATTACTTATTACTCCGAAAAAACAGATGATGTTCATGAAAATGGTGTTGCTATAATTCTTGAGGAACGACTTGAAAACATGGTTGACAAATTTGTTCCTCTTTCAGAGCGAATAATGATGATAACTATTAAAAGTAAGATTTAGGGAGAGCGCCCACCAAAGTGGCGTGGCAGTGGCAAGTAGCAAGTAGCACGCGTCTAGCATAATGTAACCAATCCTAACGAATGATTAGAATGAATGACGTTACTGTCATTTTGGTGTAAACTGAATCATTCGTTTTCATTGGTTACATTATGCTAGACGCGTGCTACTTGCTACTTGCCACTGCCACGCCACTTTGGTGGGCGCTCTCACTAATATAAACTTAATACAAGTATAGGCTCCTACAAGTAACAGTACAGACAACGAAATTAATGAATTTTACCATGTATTAAAGCAAGCACTAAATAATACAAAAAAACACGAAATTTGTGTAATAATGGGAGACTTCAACGCTAAAGTAGGAGAAGACATAACTCTTGGAATTACTGGAGGATTCGGTCTTGGGGAAAGAAACGAAAGAGGTGATAGATTGGTGGAGTTCTGCCAAGAGGAAAACTTTGTTATCACCAACACATGTTTTAAACAACCAAAAAGTCGTCTCTATACATGGATATCACCGAGAGATGGCCATGGTAGTGTAATGCGTAACCAAATAGATTATATCATGATTAAAAATAGATTTTGAAACTCATGTAAATGTACTAAGACATATCCAAGTGCCGACGCAGCCACCGATCACAATTTATTGGCATCTAGAATCAACCTAAAATTAAAGACAATCAAAAAGCCTTTCATTACAAATAAATACGACAGACAAAAACTAAAAGAAGAAGAATTTAAACATCACTTTGAACAGACAATGAACGAAAAAATTCGAGACAACATCACACAACATCATACAATGTACCAACAGTCGCCCAGTAATTCTTTATGGGATAACATAAAGAATGGTATCATCGATACAGCAACCCAAAGTGGAACTGTCACCCATTATAAAAAGCAAGCATGGATGAAAGATGAAATAATCGAAATGATGGACATCAGAAAGCATAATATGATTCGAAGAAACATCAGGGAAGCCAAAGAGTTGTGGATGCGAGCAAAATGTGAGGAACTAGAAGAATTGCAACGAAAACATGACGAATTTAACACACATAAGAAAATAAAAGAAGTTACAGTACAACAAAGAAATACAACCATAACATTAACGAATAATGAAGGTCATGCACTATCCCTAGAAGACGAAGTAATGGAGGAATGGGAAAACTACATTAAAGTATTATTTAAGGATGATCGAGGAGCACTACCTAACTTAAGTGCAAATACAGGACCATCAATCTTAAAAGCTGAAGTGGAAAAAGCCATACACAAAGCCAAAAACAATAAAGCCAGTGGACCAGATCAAATATACAGTGAATGGCTAAAATTACTCTCAAATGACAATATAAAAGAACTCACTCTACTTTTCAATCAAATATATGGTACCAGTGAAATTTCATCGGACTGGTTAAAATCGATCTTTATTCCTCTACCTAAGAAACCAAACGTTAAGAAATGTAGCGATTGTAGACTCATTAGTTTAATGAGCCATGCCGTTAAAATATTGTTGCATATTCTTCTAAACCGAATTAACAAGTGCGAAGAAATAATTAGTCAAGAGCAGTTCGGGCTCCGGAGATGTCTTGGAACTAGAGAAGCACTATTTTCTATGCAAACACTCCTTCAACGATGTTGGGAGGTAAGAAAACCCGTATATATGTGCTTCATTGATTTTGAAAAGGCATTTGATCGCGTTCAGCATACCAAACTAATTACCGCCTTGCAGAGTATCCAACTAGATGAGAAAGACATCAAACTTATTGCCAAACTTTACTGGGATCAAACAGCCATTATTAATACCAACAACCGAGAATCAAAGCCAATCAGTATTGAACAAGGCGTAAGACAAGGTTGTTTACTATCTCCCACTCTCTTTAACGTGTATTCTAAGAATCTATTTAGGGAAGCTTTAAAAGATTAAAAAGGAATTATCAAAGGAGGAGAAATAATTAACAATATACGGTACGCCGACGATACTGTGATTCTAGCTGAAAACATCGACGATCTGCAGGATAGATGGTAGTCGCCGACGTTCCGTAGGGATATGGCACTCTAAGAAGAAGATCTGTCTTAAATGTCACATAAGTATTTGGTATTCTATTTTTCATTAGTTTTCCTGTTACATAAAGCTTCCGTAAATGTAATGCATTATTAAATAGTTTGACGTAAAATATCTATCATCAAAAATAGATACTCATACTGGCAGAGTATCTGTATGTTATTAACCCTTCCTCCGCTATCCAACCATTCTGGTGTAAGTACCAAGCTGGATTCAATAAATTTGCCTTTACCTTCATACATGTGAAAATCAAGTAGAACTCCGCTCACCGTAGTTGTCTTCAATCCTACAGTGTTAGGTTTTCCTCGCACAAACTGTCTCATTAATACTTTTTCATGACAGCGAATCGTTTTTCAGTTCTTTCATTATTCAGACAAGCCCTTTGAATTTGATCTAACAATGGTCTTACTTTTTTAGAATCTATCAATTTTTTTAGTCTTCTTTGTTACAGAATCATCGTCAACAATTTGAAGTCGTATTCGAATAGCAAAAAAACAATTTATTAACATGTTGTCTGAAACTATTGGTACCCTGGTATCCATTTGCCAAAACATTTGGATTTGTGGTAAATTATAAATACTAATATGCAAGCAGCATGCAATAAACATTTTAAATTCTTCTGCAGAAGTCTCCAAAGATTTTTCAGTTTTTTTCACTTATTTTATATTTGTGTACGACGCCATGGATTCAATAACATTGTTGTCGATGTATTTACTGAAGTAGTCACTAGGTCTTGGAAAGCTGGGTTGCCAAGAGCATGTCATCATGCGAATCATCGTCTGATATATCACTGATTTCAGCATGATCGTCCATATTTTACCCTCACTTCTCATGCAGATTTCTAGGTTTATACCATGCATCCCCATCATCATCACTTTCAGGAAAAAGAGAAAGATCCAAATCAGAGTCATTTAAATTCACATTATCTGTGATTTCCTAAAGTTCAGTCGCAGTCAGCGGCCCTAAAATAAAAAAAAATATTTTAAAATACACTACCGTTTAGGACCCAAGGTATCATGAATGATACCTTGTGTTTAGGGCCAAAGAACTATTGTACCTATCATTAATTTATCACATTTTCAATTTAGTTCCTTTTTTTACACTAAAATTCACTGATCATACACAGAAACACGCTAAGTATTATGTACCTACTTACTTTTATTATTAATGATTTTTTTAGCGTCTGCCATGACATATTTAGTTACAACAAAATCTGATTAACTCATTTCGATCGAGAAGTATGCCATAGCGCAATTTTCTACGTATAGTAGATGCTTAACACGGGAGATACTTACGGACAGAATAACTGCGTTGGCGTCGAATGCGAAAAATAATTTGTTAAACCATAGTATCGTATATGATAGCTGGAGTCCGAGGAGGTTATATAGAAAAGTTTAAAGGAACACGAGGAACAGGCAGGCTAAAGATTTCCTGGTTAAAAAGTAGCTAAAAATCTACGTAACTGGTTTAACACAACAACTTCAGATCTTTTCATACCTGAATGACTGCATCAGTTGGGCTGTTACCAATCCGATGAACATGAGAATGGCTCATTCTTTTATCCTGCTGAGTGCATACCCGCCAAATACTGAGCTTTCACTAAATAAGTAATCGTTCTTTCCGGTGCGCTACCAATTCATATAAAAGAGAATTAAATGCAATCATTCTTCTAGTACAATACTACCCTCAAGAAATAAAACAGAAATAGCAATTAGGCAGAAACATTATAGCGAAGAAAACAAAAAATATAAACATTTCATGTGTTATTCATAAATGATTTGAACATATAAGTGGTTTGGTGTCTTTAGATGAATATTTATGGTTATACCAACAAGTCTCATTAGGGAATAAGTCTTTAAAGAGCTAATTAATCAACAAAACATTCTTGCAAAGCCCTATTAAAATATAAATCAGATTCTTCACAGCATATATCTTTTTAATTACGTTCAAAACATACTTCTAACTCGCTGGAGCTCTATTTTACAAGGGCCATTATAAACTCTGCTACTTCTAAATTATGCATTAACTACTTTTAGGCGCCCACTTTTTTGAAGTGAATATTTTGTTTTGAGGACTAAATTAAAAATAATGTTTTTGTCAGAGCGCGTAAAAAATACGTTAAACGAGTTTTAACTGCTGTGTTGTAATCTAGTAGTTAGTCTGCAAGGGAAAAGACAATTATTAAAATGTGCAAAGAAAATGGTAAATGTAAAATGGAAATTTTTTTTACAGTTTTTTTTACATAGGGAAATATGGACAAACGTAAAAGTACGAATGAATGAAAAGGCCTTATAATAAACTTCTGAATAAAATTCACGCTTTACTTGGAGCGGACCAGAGATACTAAACCCGTTTCTAATAACCTTTCTTTGTTTTATTTATTTTGGAGCGGGCAAAAGTTGATATACGTGTGGGTGCGGTGGCACAGGGGTATTAAATGCAGATTTCTGTATTCAAGAGCTGTATATACAGCCATTGATCTAGTAATAATAAACTAGATGTAGAACTGAAGGACAATAAGTAATTTTTTAAAGTTTAGTGCGCGTGTTGTATAGTAGGTGGACACAAATAAGCGGTACAAATAATGTAAATATCTTCAGCAAGAAATAGGGTAAGTCCGGGAGAGACGGGCCACTTTTTTCTCAAACAGATTACTTGAAAAATTGACTAGTGTATGATACGATTTTTGGAAAATAATACTTATTATAGTTTATATATTTATTGTGCAAAATAAAAAACGTGTAACTTAAGCAATATAAAAGTTATAGAAATTAACATAAATACTTCTTATTGGCCCATCTATACCAACACATAGGTACAGATGGGCCATTGCTATTGGTAGAGATGTGCTAATTTGAAACACATAAAATAATGATGTTAACCTATTTCTTTTACTAGCAATTTTTCCACACGAATCACAAACATTTTCAAATTTTGTACAGTTGTCATGGCACCTGTGTTTGCAAATCAAACATTGAACCCAGTCATCTTTTCTGGATGTTTTGCTGTAATCTTCACCACAACCAATGCACTCATTTTCATTAAATTCGTCTTCGTCTTCGCTGTCATCTAAAACTGGAGCATCTGCATTCATATCATGATCAGACGAATCTAACTCATACTTTTTACATTGACGCCTTTTGTTTTGCTGCTTTGAAACTGTCTTTTTTTTATTCTTGTTTCTTTATCTTCTTTTCTTGAATTTTGTCTGCAGAATTAAGAATTTTCGCCACTCTTCTTGCTCGGCCCCTTACATTCTTGTTTGCAGCATCAATTTTGGGTACAGGCGATAACGTGTCTAATGCTTTTCCAGGTGTTACACTTGAGTCTTCAACATTAGACGTACTAGCTGCAGTTTCTTCATCAACGACTAGAGTAATGCCTGCAAGTGAAGGACCTGGTTGATCTAAAATATTTAGATCTATTGCTGTATTACTTTGTTTTTCTACTATAGCTGAGGAGCTCTCATTTGTGGACAAAAAAGCGTGCTCTGGAATTTTATCAGGATCAAACGGTACAATTCCTGTGGCAACAAATCCAGAGGTTCCATTTGTCACCGTTGCGGAGATTTTCCACGCATTTCCTAACAACTCACCAAAATGATAACGTGTAATTTTTCTTGTTGGGTTATTTCTGATATAGTTTTGACATCTCGAGTGAAAATTAGCCTTTAAAGATTTGAAAAAAGCTCGGTCCAACGGCTGCAGAAAATGCGTGGTATGACTGGGTAAGCACAACATTAAAATTTCGTTGTTTTCGGCGCATTCTAATACATCCACTGCTGCTGTATGGGACGTATATCCATCTAATATCAGCAAAACTTTGCCCTGAGGCTTTCGAGGAATAAACAGATTTTTTAGCCAATGTAAAAAAATATCTGCATTTACGTAGGCCGATTTTTCGGACATTACAAACATTGCTTCAGGTGGCATTCCATTCGCGTATTCTTCTTTTCTATTTTTTCCTTTAAAAATAGAATACGGAGGTAAAAATACGCCCTCAGCATTGCAGCAGCTTATCACAGAAATCGTTTTTTTTTCTCTCCTGATGTAATAACAGGGACATTTTTGGATCCTTTAGAAGCGAGTACATGTTCAGGCCTGTTATTTAACTGCAAACCTGTCTCGTCTACGTTGAAAATATGCCCCGGCTTATTTATTAGTTGACTATTAGTTAAAATACTTAGCAGCAGATCGAAGTACTGTGTAACTACCTTGTGGTTTAATCCTTTTGCCCTGTCCAAAGAAACTCCTTCACCTTTTGGCACTGATATATCTGGATGGCGACGTAAAAAAGACTGCAACCAGTCAAAACCAGCTTTATTGTTGTTTTTATTGAATTTGTGACTTACATTAAATTTTTTTGCTAACTCAAACGCCACAGTTCGTACATGGTTACGAGTGGGTGCAAAACCATACTTTTGCAATTTCTTAATATGCAGCACTAATTTCATCTCGATCTCATCCCCAAGAGTTGAGGAAGGTCCAAGACAATTGTGGTTTTTTAGATCAATTTTTTTCATTCTTCTCTGTATGCTACTTCGAGGTATGCCATAAGCTAATGCAGCTCGATTTAGTCCCATGCGATTTTCTCTGATAGCTGCAACTGCATTTTGTAGTGCTTCTTCGCTCCATTTACCTCTTTCAACAGTAGATTTCCGCTTATAATATGAAGGCATATTGTAACCTGTAACAGTATAGAAATTAATTAATAATACATATTATTAAAAAATATTGTTGAATAATACAAACCCAATAGTTATTATTAGCCCATCTATACCGATACACTGTGGCCCATCTATCCCAAAGGTTCGGTAGAGATGGGCAACGCCATCGAACACACAGTTTAAATTTTATAAGGGTATTTTAGGTTAGGTTCAGTTGTTTAATCTCAGTATAACAGTTGAATACATAATTAATAAAAAAAACTTACCTTTTGTCAAAACTTACACAACTTGAAAATTCACCAAGGAAAAATTTCACCAACAAAATATAATTAAGTAAAAAAATCTCTCTTGTTTATGCATACACGTCGCAATGACCACGTTCACAAGGTCTGTCGTTGACTAAATATTACAAATCAACGTTGCCGCACTGCACAATAAATAGAGGATCTTCAATATGACGAATGGCCCGTCTATACCGATGGCCCATCTCTCCCGGACTTATCCTACCTTCTCAGTTCTTCGTCTTTTACAAACTGCACTTCACAAACACAAAAACTGGCCTAAGAAAACAGGATTCCAGTTTTTACTCAGGAAATTAAAGTGTATGTGAATCGAATAGAAATGTTCAAAACATAAAAAAAAACTAGGAATACCAAATCAGTTATTAAATTTAACAAAACTATCCCTTGGAAAAGTTTTTTTTTATTATAACTAATAAATTAACAATCAGAATAAAACAATGTATTCTATAAGTTAATTTGATGAGTTTAGGTCCTGTCCCTTGGTTCTGGCGTGATGTGGTCCCCTCTAGTGAGAGAATCACGGGTCCATGTTACTGGTCTGTTGGCCAACGTCGCTTTAGTCTTCTGATAACTTGATGTTGAGGTATTGCGGAAATTAATGGATTGGATTTTTGATTGGCACCTTTCCATAATAGCAATATTAGATTTACTACTACAGCCCCACAGCTTTATGCCATATGTCCATATTGGTTTGATAACTGTTTTATAAATTAGAATTTTATTATCTATTGGCAGTTTGGAGTTTTTTCCAATTAACCAATTGATTTCTTTTTGTTTTAAGTAGTTGTATTTGTTTTCTTTTTTTGGTGATGTGTTCTTGTCAACACAGGGTTTGGTCCAGATGTAGCCCTAGGTATTTGGTTGTTTTAGTCCTGGGTATTTCCTCATTGTTGATATATATATACATATATATATATATATATATATATATATATATATATTATATATATATATATATATATATATATATATATATAGAGTTTGTATAACGACGCTAAGAATACAATTCTTTGGAGGATAAGTTTCAGGAAAGCGTCAAAACAAGGATCAGCTAGAGATGGTATAAGCCAGTTTGGTGTAGAACTTTATTCTATATGTGAAATTTTCGGTGATATGTTGTCACCTTCATCAGCACCTAAATGGAAAACCTATTTTAGTACAAGTGGTGGAAGTTAACATATAAAACCTACATTGAAAATGTTCAGTTGGTCCTAGAGTTGAAGAACACTGTCACAAACATGTTAAAAATATTAAAAATTACATTTAAAATTTTGAAAAAAACATAACAACACAACAGGGTATTATTTAAAATACAAACACAACAAAAATCTAAAAATTATAACCTACACAACAACTGCAACTTCATATTAAAGGTAGAAAAGAAGAATTATTCTTCTTTTTTGATGACATATTTCTGACTTCTGTCAATATCCGGGTGTCATATGCAACGAGGTTATAATTTTCACATTAGAACCTCATGGATATGGAAAGAAAGAGCCCCAGGAAACACAATCAGCAGGGAAATGGAGTCTTTTCTCAAGTACAAGTAGGCAATCTATGTATGTTATGATAAGTTCCCTACATTCTCCAGTTTGTTACATCTTGTCAAGTCTTGTTGAAGTAGAAATGAATAAATACAACTTAAGTTTTCAACATCTTTCTTACAGTTCATAGAAGAACTGCAGTTATGGATGTAGCACATTTCTATGAAGTTTCTCTTAAATTGGTTGTCAACCCTCTTTAATACTTGCACATTTTCATAGTTAGCAATGTGTCCAGTATTCTTAATATGTTGGCTAAAGGCTGTGCAGGTAGGTTTCCTCACTACATCACTCTTGTGCAAAGCTAGTCTTTTTGAAAGTTTCTGGCTGGTTTGACCGACATACACTTCTGAACAGGAACCACATGGAATAGAATACACTACATTGAAGTTATCCAGTTTTTTAACTCTTTCTGTCAGGTGAGTAAAGTATGTTTCTAATCTTTTGTACACTGAATTTGCTATCACTATGTTGAACTGACTGAAAAGGTTTGTGATCTGTGGAGATAAACCTCTGATGTAAGGTAATCTCCCATAGAAAACTTCTACTGTTTCTCCTTCTAATGTTAGTCTTTGGTGTGTTCTCACTGTTGGCATATCTTAGAATAGCAATTTATTAAGAAGCATCTTAGGGTAGTGGTTTTTTCTAAGAATCTCATACAATAATTTGATGTTCTTATTGTAGTTAGAAGGGTGACAAATTCTTTTTATTCTGTTTTTCAGACCTTTGATGATGTTAATCTTCTGTTCGTCTGGATGATATGAGTGAAAAGGCACATATCTACCTGAGAATGTTTTCTTAGGTTGGATTGGTACAGAAAGAAAACATTCTCAGGTAGATATGTGCCTTTTCACTCATATCATCCAGACGAACAGAAGATTAACATCATCAAAGGTCTGAAAAACAGAATAAAAAGAATTTGTCACCCTTCTAACTACAATAAGAACATCAAATTATTGTATGAGATTCTTAGAAAAAACCACTACCCTAAGATGCTTCTTAATAAATTGCTATTCCAAGATATGCCAACAGTGAGAACACACCAAAGACAAACATTAGAAGGAGAAACAGTAGAAGTTTTCTATGGGAGATTACCTTACATCAGAGGTTTATCTCCACAGATCACAAACCTTTTCAGTCAGTTCAACATAGTGATAGCAAATTCAGTGTACAAAAGATTAGAAACATACTTTACTCACCTGACAGAAAGAGTTAAAAAACTGGATAACTTCAATGTAGTGTATTCTATTCCATGTGGTTCCTGTTCAGAAGTGTATGTCGGTCAAACCAGCCAGAAACTTTCAAAAAGACTAGCTTTGCACAAGAGTGATGTAGTGAGGAAACCTACCTGCACAGCCTTAAGCCAACATATTAAGAATACTGGACACATTGCTAACTATGAAAATGTGCAAGTATTAAAGAGGGTTGACAACCAATTTAAGAGAAACTTCATAGAAATGTGCTACATCCATAACTGCAGTTCTTCTATGAACTGTAAGAAAGATGTTGAAAACTTAAGTTGTATTTATTCATTTCTACTTCAACAAGACTTGACAAGATGTAACAAACTGGAGAATGTAGGGAACTTATCATAACATACATAGATTGCCTACTTGTACTTGAGAAAAGACTCCATTTCCCTGCTGATTGTGTTTCCTGGGGCTCTTTCTTTCCATATCCATGAGGTTCTAATGTGAAAATTATAACCTCGTTGCATATGACACCCGGATATTGACAGAAGTCAGAAATATGTCATCAAAAAAGAAGAATAATTCTTCTTTTCTACCTTTAATATGAAGTTGCAGTTGTTGTGTAGGTTATAATTTTTAGATTTTTGTTGTGTTTGTATTTTAAATAATACCCTGTTGTGTTGTTATGTTTTTTTCAAAATTTTAAATGTAATTTTTAATATTTTTAACATGTTTGTGACAGTGTTCTTCAACTCTAGGACCAACTGAACATTTTCAATGTAGGTTTTATATGTTAACTTCCACCACTTGTACTAAAATAGGTTTTCCATTTAGGTGCTGATGAAGGTGACAACATATCACCGAAAATTTCACATATAGAATAAAGTTCTACACCAAACTGGCTTATACCATCTCTAGCTGATCCTTGTTTTGACGCTTTCCCGAAAGTTATCCTCCAAAGAATTATATATATATATATATATATATATATATATATATATATATATATATATATATATATATATATTGGTATATATATATATATTGGTACTGGTGTTTCTCGTCGTAAAGTGAAAGTTACGTGGGTTGACTTGTTTTCATTAATTTTTATTTTTCATTGTTTTAGCCAGTTTCCAAGCTCAAACAAATAGTCTTGGAGCTGTTGTGTAAATGTTCAGAAAATAATTCGGATTTATCTTTATCGTTTCTTGCCCATTGGTTCTGTGTGTCTGTGGTTTTTCTAACTGGTGGCGATATTACTTGAGGTTTTAAAAATGTTTTGACTGGTTTCCGTATTGAATGGTCGTATCTATTAAGTTGTGTTACATATTTTTTGACTGACTCTTCTCTTGCAATTTTTAGTTGTGTTTTTAATTTATTAGCTATGCGATTGTAAAACGTTTTATCCGCTGGGTTCCGACTTTGTTGCCATTTGGCGCTTGCTATTCTTTTTTCAGCAATGAGCTTGTTAATTTCTAGTGGAATATTTATTCTATTCTTGATTTTATTTTTATCTGCATCGTTTCGTGTCGCTTCTTTTGCAGCGTTTTGTAATATTGTCATAAGGTTGTTTGTAGCTGCTTCTATTTCTTGGAAAAGTTGAATGTAAAATACGAATTCAAGGGGAACTGTCTGAACCTTTTAAAATAAATATTGGACTGCGACAGGGAGACCCTCTGTCCTGTATACTGTTTAATCTGGTTCCTTTAAAGTAATACGTATGTCACAAATCACAACCACTGGTTCCATATATAATAAATCAGTGCAAATCCTAGCTTATGCTGATGATATCAATATTGTTGTGAGGACGGAAAACGCTGTACGAGAGGCATATGTAGCATTAATATTAGATTTTCAATATTGAGGCAAAATATTCCTTATTTGTTTTTATATAGAATATCTACTATCATTTCTACGTCGTTAAAGCCGTGTTAACAATTACATTTTAATGTTTTCGTCGACAAAAAAAAAAGAACTATGCTATAATTTTTGCACTATGCCTGCTTAGTTTATCTTATTTCTTACGCTTTTTTTAATTTCAGAAATAAAATGTCATCGAAATCGAAACAACAACGAAAAAAATTGGGATAAATCCATGCATGCAGCTATGACTGTAGATAAAAACAAAGAAATGGAGTACACGCGAGTTTCAAAAACTTTTAATGTATTCAAGAGCACGTTGGAAGACGACGTAAAAAATAAAAAAATGTCACCTGAAGAACTTATTCAAACCAATATGGGACGCCCAACAGTGTTTTCCAAAGAAATTAAAGCGGATTTGGTCAATTATTGCCTAGAAATGGATAGAAGATTTCACGGACTGCGATCTTCTGATATTCGAAGATTACCCTTTTAGTTAGCTATTCGGAACAATTTAAAACATCCATTTTCAACAAATTAGAAAAAATGAGGTTACAAAATGGTGGAGTTCATTTTTAAAAAGGCATCCAAACTAACGTTTAGGACTACAGGGTTGTGGTCCTAAACGGTCACTAATTGAAGGATTCACAGATGAAAACGTAAATGATTTTTTGAAATTCAGGAACCTGCGATGGAGAAGGTAAAATTTAATCCCTGTCGAATCTATAATGTAGATGAGACAGGTATAAAGCCCGGCGCAAATTAACCACAGCCCACGCACATCCCAAGCGCAGTACACGCATGGGTTATTTTGTAAAACGTGGTTTTAGACGGAGCGACGCATATTAAACCCAAACCACGGCCAGGCTAATGCCAGACCCGATTACACCCGATCGTACTTCCTGGTTGAACATTTCTCATAGGCTGGGTTCAATCAAATTGCTTGCTTGCTAATGCCAGACTTGGTTGGCGTGGATAGAGTTGTGCTAGCAACACAGTTTCGTGGCTCGTGGGTCTCTAACTAACCTTAGTTATGATGTCATTTTCTGTACTGAACGAAGAGTTCCCAAACGTAAAAAAATAAAATCGGTAGAATTCTTTTTAAAAATTGGTAGATTGTGGAGTAAAATCGGTAGATCTTTCAAAATATTATATTTTGTTTAAATTTCATAATGTTTTTCAATTCGTTTATTTAAGAAAAAATAAAATTTGTTTTAAAAACGTGTAAAAAAAACGGACTAAACTTTAAATCTTTAAATGAGTCTGTGACTAGGAATCGAATACTTATCCGAGAACCGAAACCTCGAGTATAAAACCCTTTTACAAGGATAAACAATAAAATTTTACAATATTATATAACAAACAGACTACTGACTTTTTACGTGAGGTGCACTCGGAAGGTCATTGAGAAGAATGATGCGCATACCTTGGGTGGATAGAGTTCGAAACGACGACGTCCTTAATAGAGCCGGCGTGGAAAGAGAACTCTTTGAATTAATTAAAAAACGCAAGATTGGTTACCTTGGGCACATATTGAGAGGAGCAAAATATGAAATACCACAGTTAATCCTACAAGGGAAGATCGAAGGTAGGAGAGGAGCCGGCCGCAAACAATTATCCTGGTTAAGGAATATTAAAGAATGGACAGGAATACACAATACAGGTGAGCTGTGTCACGCCGCCAAGAACAGATTTTCTAGTAATGAGATAGTCGCCTATGCACTTTGGTGTATGGCATGTTAAGAAGCACTCGGAAGCTTATATTAATAAATATGCGTTGTTCCGGTTTTTAGTTTCCTAACTTGACAAATTCCCAGAACCAAGCGGTCGGGATCACAATGGATTTGGATTCATTTATTATTGTATTATTAGCTTTTATAAGATCATGTACTTTGTAAAGTACCGCTTAGGTATCATTTAAGAAGAAATACTGCGAACACTGCGAAGAATACAAATTTTTGACATGGGCGTGGGCTGTGTTCAATATGCGTTATTATTGAAAAACCTGTACTTGGACTAGGTTGGACCATACGTGGGCTGCGCGTGGGATGTGCATGGGGTGTGGTCAATTTGCGACGTTCTTAACATCTGTATAATTAAAGCATACAAAAATAATCGCCTTAAAAAGGAAAAAGCAGGTAGGGGCCGTTACTTCTGCATAAAGAGGATCACTAGTGACTGTGGTTACCTATTATAGGTAATATAATATTAATAATATAATATTTATGCCGCTGGTGGTTTTGTGTCCCCTATGGTCATATTTATGAACATCACAGTATTTGCGGATAACTTATTTTGCAACAAAATGAGAAGAATGCTGTGTACCAGGAATTAAAAACTGTAACTAAGAGTTAGGTTGGCCGGTTGCTATGTTTTTTCGACTTTATTTTATGGAATGGAATCTTGGACCTTTAATGCGACATCAATGAAAAAACTGGAATCATTCGAGCCGTGGGTGTACAGAAGAATTATGAAAATATCGTGGACAGAACACGTCACAAACAAAGAGATTTAAAGAGGAATATCTCGGACATATTACACGTAAAGAGAAATACACCTTACTCCAACTGATTATGCAGGGAAAGATCCAAGGAAAGAGAAGCATAGGGATGCATAGGGTCATGGCTGCGCAACCTGAGAGAGTGGTAAAGATGTACATCAAATGAACTTTTCAGAGCAGCCGTCTCAAAAGTCCGAATAGCTATGATGATTGCCGACCTTCGCCGCAGAGATGGCACTTGAAGAAGAAGACATTATTGTAAAAAAAAAAATTCATATTTTTGGATAAAACATTTATATGACTAAATATTTGATATCCGATCATTGAATTTTTTGTTTTCACACGATGCAAAACCTTTTTGAAAAATCCTTTTTTCTAAAATTAAAAAAAAATAATATGGTTCCATTTAGATTAATGGGGACATGCTGTATAACACTAAAACTTGGAAACAAATATAACAATGCTTCCTCGTAAGATTTCTTTATATGGTTACCCATTTGCATCAATGGTAAGTGAGGTGACCAATACTAAAAACCCTGAATAGTGTTTAACTGTGTTGTTACTTTCACTTTTACTTTCTTAGTTTGTGTCAGCGAATCAAGATGTTTAAACTTGAGGTGAGTAGATAAAAATATATTATTTTTGGTTTAGTAGATGTACGTACGATATATAAATATTTGATGCAAAATGTACATTGTAATAATTTTGCTTAGTTATTATGTAATAATCGATTAAATATGACGCAGACTTGGTTGGTTTCGAAAAATAATCGATATCATTCAGACATGGTAGTATTTTATTAAGAAGTATTTAAAAAGTAATAGCCATGTAAACAAAATAAAAAAATATACTTATTATAGTATGTACAGTTGCGGTCACGGAATAGTTTACACCTTACTTTTTATATTGTAATACTGTAAAATTGCAGTGTCGTACGGATTTGATAAATGTCAAAGTCAAAAAATTTCAAAACGTCAATGCTTTCGCGAGTGTTCAACAATAAAATAAAAGTATATTAAACTCTTCCAAAATGGTTAGAATACATTTGAATTATGCGCAAAAAGCAAGAGCAATTGCCAAACTCGAAGAAGGTTGGTCACTAAGGCAAGTTGCTGCTGATTTGAACGTGAGTCATATGTGCATATGGAAGATTAAACAAAGATGGGATAATTTTCACTCTATAGCACGGTTGGGCGGTTCAGGAGGGCAGAAGATTTCCACAGATCAAAAGGATGAGATGTTAGTAGATTATTTGAAAGAATCTCCTCTTGCCACAGCTCAAAAGGCAAGAGAAGAGGCAGCGTTTCCAGGCAGTATTCGCACTGCACGTCGAAGAATTAAAGCAAGTGGACTGCTAAATTGTGTAGCTGCACGGAAACAGCTGAGCTTTTTTGACTGAGGATCACAAGAGGAGACGAGTTGAATTTTGTAATGAATTTATAAACCGCGATGAGAATTTTTGGTCTAGGGTTGTATTTTCCGATGAAAAAGTATTTCAGTCGTATAATAATGGTCGAATAAGAGTTTATAGGCCGAGAAATCATAGGTATGATGAACAGTATACGCATCATTTAAGAAATAGTGGAGGATTCTCTGTCAACGTATGGGGATGGATAAGTGCCGAAGGCCCGGGCGTTTGTTATCATGTAGAGGAGAAGTTAACAGGATTATATTACAAACATATTATTAAGCACACAATGTTGCCATCGGTGATCCAAAGATTCCCCAACAACGACTTTATCTTCCAACATGACAATTGCCCGGTGCATACGAGTAGAATTGTTCGAGAATGGCTAGAAGAAACTGATGTTAATGTTCTTCCGTGGCCTTCCCGTAGTGCAGACTTTAACCCCGTCGAAAATGTGTAGGCAGAGTTAACAAAGAAACTAAATGAAAGAAACCTTAGACCACGGAATAGAATTGAATTATGGGAAGCAATTGAGCAGGCATGGGAAGAGCTTGTTAACTATAACATGAGGGGATTGGTGCTATCTATGAACAGAAGACTGCAAAATTGTATTGACAAGAATGGGGCTTCCACCAAATATTAATTATTATTTATCATTGTTTATCGTTATTTAATATAAAATAGATTTAAAATAAAATGCATATTAAAAAAAAAGACTTCTTTATTTTCGTTATTAAGATCATAATCCATTTTATTCAAAAAACTGTTTTCTATATTTTTCATTTTGTAAAATATTTTGATATTTTAATTTTAATCTACCTATTCTAGCTAGTACACCACTGGCAACGTCACTTTGACGTAAAAGGTGCGTTTAAACGAAGTAAAAATTTAAAAAATGGGCTCCTAGATACGTGAACCTGTAAACTATACCGTGACCGCAACTGTACATATTAATTTATGTATTTAATTTATGATATTGATCAGCATACTGTTTTATAATCACATGATGTTTTTGATGTGGTAATGTGACATTTTATATATCTGTCTAACTAATCAACCATAAATCATCATATACATAATATCCTGCCTTTCTTCCCCTTTAAACCTAAGTTGAACAAAAAAAAAAAGAAAAGGAGAAAAAGAAATGTATCAACTTGGAATTCTTCGTAGATTACAACATCTTATGTATATAAGTGATGGATTCGACCGTTACTTGGACATTCATTTTATCTAACAATAAAATACTGAAAACTATTCTTCTCAAAACTTCCACAAAATGTATTATACTTTTTATTTTTTTCCCTGCTACACTACACTAGCAGGATGCCTTTCTGAAGTTATCTAGTTTTAGTATGCGTTTATACTTTATAGGCTTTAACTGAATAAGTTGAAGAGAGGAGAACTGTTTATCTAAAGTTGGTCATTTAGAATTACAGCTATATTTTTTAGTTTGTTAATATCCATAGATTCTTGTAAAGATAGCTTAAGGTATTTATTTTGAATGCTAAGAATTTTTGCTCTAGGGGGTAAAGTGCGTACGTAAAATCTCTTTTTCTATTATTGAACTCCGTTTTATGATTTGCTATACGTTTTTTAAAACTTCTACCAATTTGACTGCTGTAATTTTTCGGGCAGTTGCTAAAAGTTTTTATACACCACTGTGTAAGTGCTTTTTCTTTTGTCTCTTGTTGTTCTTACTATACCTATTTGCCAAATCAAATATATTAGCCAAATATACACACATCAAAACTGCCTAAGGAACACCTAAAGTGTAACCTAAAAGTTGTTTTTGTTTAAACTTTTAATCAGTTCTGTTCTTAATCAGTCTCGAACCCCATTTTGTATGTTTTGCATTAAAATCACCTGCTACAATAAAGCGATTACTAAGCCCATTAAAATAACTAGAGAAATGTTCTTCTTTAATTATTTTACTAGGGGGCAATACGCAACTGACATCGTTATGTGTTCTTTGCTGAGTTCTATAGAGGTTGCCTAAATGTTGATTTCACACACTTTATATAATTAGTGATGTGTTATGTTACTTCTAGTGATTAACGCAGTTCCACCATGACTTTTTCCCATTGGGTGTGGTGTGACATAGGTGCAAAAGTCTGGCATACTAAAATGGCTCTTATTTGTCATATGAGCTTCAGAGGCTATCATGATATCAAGATTATGTAACTTTATAAATGCGAAGAACAAGTATCATGGACGCAGTTTGGATTCCGCGATTCCTTAGGCACCCGAGAGGCTCTATTCGCTGTCCAAGTGCTTATGCAAAGATGCAGGGATGTTAACTGCGATATGTTTATTTATTTTATCGCTTACAAAAAGGCATTTGATAGAGTAAAACATGATAAACTTATAAACATCTTGAAAGAAGTGGGGTTAGATGATAGGGACTTGAGAATCATCTATAATTTATATTACAACCAAACAGCCAACACTAAAGTGAATGATCAATTGACAGAGGCAGTCTCCGTAGATAGAGGACTGAAGCAAGGATGCATTCTGTGCTCGGTGTTATTTAATATATACTCTGAATATATCTTCGAGCAAGCGCTGGTAGAACTACAAAAAGGCGTATTAGTCAACGGAATGCGTCTAAACAACATTAGATATGCCGACGACGCAGTAGTTTTTGCAGATAGTCTGGACGGTTTGCAAAGAATAATGTCGCGTATATCACATATAAGTAGAGAACACGGACTTGATCTTAATACGAAGCGAGAAATATTAAATACACAGCTTTTGATAAACCAACATCCAGTTGACAGAGTGGACAGCTACACATACCTTGGTACCAACATTAACAGCCAATGGGATCACTCCTGTGAAATAAAAAAACGCATAGGAAAAGCGAGATCAGCGTTCATAATGATGAAGTCTCTTTTCAGAAGTCATGATTTACCACTTGCTACCAAAATGTCTCTCATTAGATGGTATGTATTTTCTACCTTATTATACGGAGTAGAGGCCTGGACACTTTCCGAAGCTTCCTTGAGGAGAAAACTCGAGGCATTCGAGATGTGGTGTTATAGACGTATCTTAAGAATTTCATGGGTGGATCGTGTGACTAATGTTGAGGTCCTACGTAAAATAGGCAAGGAATGCGAGATTATTAACACCATCAAAGAGCGCAAACTAGAATATCTTGGCCATGATATCCGTCTTCTGTACGGAGTAGAAGCTTGGACATTAAAAACGAAAACTTTATCAAAACTTTGCGCTTTTGAGCTGTGGCTATACAGAAGTATCCTGAAGATACCATGGACAAAGTCACCAATGATGAAATACTGCGGAGGATAAACACTATTGCTGATTTGGTCAATATCGTGAAGGGTCGTAAGCTGCAGTACTTGGGACATATAATGTGAAATCAAGTAAGTTACGAGCTACTTCAATGCATTTTGCAAGGAAAAATTGAAGGAAAAAGGGCCCCAGGACGAAGAAGAATATCCTGGCTTGCTAACCTGAAAGCATGGTATAGAAAAACCTCAACACAGGTGTTTCGTATAGCAACCAACAAAGTCTTCATAGCCAGAATGATCGCCAACCTTCGGAATGGATAGGCACCCTAAGAAAATAAGAAAGATATAGAAATTCCAGAAGTGTAATGTTTTTCTTTGTTAAAACAAAGATAGAAATTGTTTTTACATCTTTCACACTGAATAATTATTATAATTAGAAAGCAATATATGCCTTTTTTTTATGTTGAATATTTTACTTGTTGAATTTTACTTTAATGCATAGTGTGCAATATGTGGCACACACAATAAAATTAAATAATACAAAAAACTAAATAAGTAGGATTTTTTAAATATTTTTACCATAATCTTGAAATCAAGTTTGTATTCACAGTTTTTTTTTGTAAAAAAATAAAAAATCGTGAAGTAAGGGGTTAACGTATTTCTTTTTTACAATATTGTAAACATTATCATAAATTAATTTGTGTCGGGCGTAGGAAATTTCGACACTAAGCAGGTAGCGACTAAAATTTAATGGCAATTTTCGACACCAGCCCCAATTCCCGTTTTTATCTTACAGGTATATTCGACACCAAATAAATATAGCTGCGACATAAATAAAATACCATAATTAATTTATTTATTTATTTTAATAAAAGTAATGTGCATTTTATTTCTTTATAACTGTAATAATATCTAAATATAATACAACTATTACCTAATTTTTGTACATTTTACCGTTAATATACTTGTATACAATGATTTATTTACTATTATAGGAATGATAAGATACAGATTTTATAAAATCTAACCTACGTATTTGTTGGGATCGTAGTTTATCCATCATTTTCTTAAAAAATGCCAATTTAGCCTTAACAGTAGTATCTTTGATTTTTGCTGGTATATGTAAACTATTTATTTTGACATAAGTGTCTTATGAAATTCTTTTAACTTTTCAATAAAAATAAAAATAGAAGGATGTGTTGAATAAAAAGAAGAATTAAATCTCGAATGAAAGGATTCACAGGCATTTGTGGTCCTCGCAATAGACGGATTCTGATTAGACGATATGTGTGGTGGAAATAGAGCGCTATCGAAAATGTAATTTTCCAGTAAATAATCTGCATATATATCAAGTGTTGTGTTTATAGGTTTATATGACATTAAATCATAAAGAAAGCATTCTTCAACTTCTGCTGGATTTAAATAAGTTAAACCAAACGTATGCCTTAACCATTTTCCAATTTCTGAATTTGTATCCTTATATTCTTGTACCAAACCCAAAGATTGAATTTTTTTAAACCAGTTTTGGTGTAAGTGAAAACGGCATTTACTAATTTTTGCATTGGGCCACATATACAATAAAGCACAGTGAATTGCTTTTTCAAAGTCCACAAATATTTCAGTTGGCTCTAATGATAATTGAAATGTTTCAAAAATCTTAGACCTTAATAAAGAAAATAAATTTTTGTATGTCATTGACAATTTGTCCTTTAACAAACAGTATGCTAAAGGAACATAATGTCCATTTTCCAAGCCATGTATAGTAAATATTTGTAGAAAATATTTGGTACTGTATGAAAATGTACCATCCATATACAAAGTTTTTAATTTACACAACAAACGAATATTTGTCTCGCATGAAAATACAATTACATTGAATTCAGGATGATTTAAAAACAAAAAACTTTCATTGCGACAGGTTTTAGAAGAATAATTACTAACCGCGTTATGGACTTCTGATATGCTTCTTGGTAACGGACCTGGTAACAGTTTACGACGACAGTTGTAAATGTTCTTTCTTATGCTAGCTATGTCAGGGACCGTCAGCAAATTGGCATCACACTCAGCAACAGCAGTTCTTGTAATTTTGGCAGGCTTTTCCGATATGTCCTCTTGGGCTTTTCTTTTACATGCATTGGTTACCATCTTTACTTCAAGCTTCTTTGGATCGGCTTCATGATTATGTACCAAATCACTTCTTGTGATGGAGAGGTCCTCACAGCCTATTGTAAACACTTTTACGGAACACTAAGTGTTTCTTTGGATGCAGCGCCAAAATATCTCGCCGCTTTTTAACACTTTCTGTTTCGAGAACGAATGATGCTCCACCACTAATAAATCTCGACCACGGGAACTTTTTATCAAACTCGTTTTTTAAATATCCGTATACGTGCACAAAACAACGTTAAACAAGAAATAAATTATAACTGAAATAATTTAGTCACAAGTACACAAGTGCCACGCCTCCGTCGTGACAATAAATATTGGGAAAACCTGCTTATCCTGCTTGGGTGCAAATGTCCATCGCCGCTAATTACCTACCTACCTGCTTGACGCCGCGGTGTCGAAATTTCCTATAATAAAATTTGACCCTTCGATTACCCCAGGTACAAAGACAATTTGGTGTCGAAAGTTCGCCCGCCGTTTGTGTCATTTTATAACGTAACAATACTTTGATTTTCTTATTGTCGTTGTATTGCTTGATCCATTTGTATATATATATATATATATATATATATATATATATATATATATATATATATATATATATATATATATATATATCCTGGCTAATATATATACAAATGCTCATAACGAATACTGATTATTTATTATTACTTAAGCGAACCATCTATTTTAACATATAAAATCTTATGTTTTTAGCAATACTTACTTTTCCTGCTTTTTCTGACCGCTATAGCCACGCTAAGAGCGGCTGCCCCGAGTACAACTAGTACAACAGAAAGACCTGCGATATCAGACGAAACTTTGGATGCTACGTTGAATGACAAGAGGTATCTCTTAAGGCAGTTAAAGTGTGCCATTGGTGAAGCTCCGTGCGACTCTGTTGGTCGTAGATTAAAAAGTAAGCGATATTGAATTTAATAATTACTACTTTCAAAAATGTGTTTAGTAGAGTAGTTGAACACAGAAATATGTCCAATGAAAATCTCTTTGAAATTTTTTATTTTAAATTTTCTTACTTTATTATTACATTTTATTACAATTTGGGAAATATCATTCTTTCTCTTCATGTGCCATCTCCTCTAAGAATGTTGGCAATCATCATGGCAATTCGCCCTTTCATTACCGCTGCTCTAAAGAGGTCAGCAGAAGTGCAATTAAACCAAAAGTTCTAAATTGTTTAACCAGGAGATGCGTCTTCATCCACGATTCCTTCTACCCTGTATTCTTTTTTGCATTATTAATTGCAAAAAGTTATAACGCTCTCCCCCCATGACATGTCCTAGACATTGCAGTTTTCTGACTTTAATTGTATTTAAAACCTTGTTATCTTTTCCTATTCTTCTCAACACCTCGACATTCGTGACTCTATCCATTATAAAATTGGCCAATGATATAAATATTATTGGCCAAACAAGTCTGGCAGAAAAAAAAACTCGAAATAGTTCCTGTCAATAAAAAGAAATTTAATTTATATTTGGTATAGAAGCATGCAGTATTTATTCTTTCATCTTTTACATTTTCCATTTATACCCTGCATCTGCAAAAGGGACGCTTTTTGTGTCAGTAAAATGCTAAAATATTTGCTCCAAATTGAAACTTACGTAGGCCGTCCAATAAGTACTACTTAGCCTCACTGCTGATTCGGTTATCCGTTATCACATAAAATTTTAATTATTACTTTATAATTCTTTTCTTTAATTATGAAAGCACTTATTAACAAAAAATGTCTATTTTTACTTTAAAAGTTCAAACCAAAAAAGTTACATAAGTTTCGCTAAAATGCACTTGAGTTGTAAACTGGATTTACTAAAATTTCTGGGAGTAGGAACTAGACTGGAATCTCTGACACACGAACAAAAAAACTGCATCTGTAGTCTGGACAAACACTAACGACAAATTAAAGAGATGGACAGAATACATCAATGAACTATTCAAAGACAATAGAACAGAACAGATAAAGATAAAAGTAGAACAGGATATGGTTTTAAAGATATTAAAAGAGGAAGTTAAAATGGCATTAAAAACAGCAAAAATGGTAAAGCATTAGGTCCAGACGAAATTCGTATAGAAATCTTAAAATGCACGAATGATAAAACCTTAGACATTCTAGTAGACTTATTTAACTCAGTATGCAAAACAGGATACATACCGAAATGGTTACTCTCCACCTTTTGTGCTATCCCTAAAAATACAAACGCTCAATATTGCAGTAAATACAGAACAATATCCCTAATAAGTCACATTCTCAAATTATTCCTGAAAATGATACATGGTCGTGTAAATAAAAAACTGGAAGAAGGAATAGATGATAGTCAGTTTGGGTTCAGAAACAGACTAGGAACCAGAGAAGCGTTGTTTTCTTCTAATGTATTAGCTCAAAGATGCATGGATATGAATGTTGATGTGCATGTTTGTTACGTTGATTTTGAAAAAGCATTTGACAAAGTAAGACATGAAAAATTAGTCCAAATTCTAAAGACAAAAAACATAGACCACAGGGACTTACGAATAATAACAAACCTCTACTGGAATCAAACAACACAAATCGTAATAGATAACGAACCCAGTCCAGAAATTGATATCAGGAGAGGAGTTAGGCCGGAATGTATTATGTCCCCGTTACCATTTTATGTATATAGTGAAGCCATTTTTGAAGAAGCATTACTATCTCAAAGTGAAGGAATAATAATTAACGGAAGGTCTATTAACAACATAAGATCTGCAGAGGACACAGTGATTATGGCAACCTCTGCTGAACAACTTCAATTACTGCTAAACAAAACAAACAGTTTCTGTGAAAAATGTGGAATAAAAATGAATATAAAAAAGACCAAATACATGATAATAACAAAGATAACAAATATACCAACAAAATTACATTTGGGAAATGTACCGATAGAAAGGGTTAATAAATACAAATACCTAGGAACCTGGATTTCAGACCATAATGATCAAACAACCGAAATAAGAACTAGGATAGAAATAGCAAGAAATGCGTTTGTAAAAATGAAAACAATTCTCTGAAACAAAGATCTTAGATTAGAACTGAGAGTAACAGCACTGAGATGCTACGTGTTTTCGATACTGCAATATGGACTTAAAAGCTGGACATTGAAGCAAGAACACGTAAATAAGTTACAGTCCTTTGAAATATTGTGTTACAGGAGGATGCTTAGAATAGCATGCTTATATCTCCTTTGTCTCCACAGAGGTCAAACTCCAGGCCATTGATCGAACTCGGCTACGAACTGTTGCCCTATCCACCATATTCTTTAAATTTGGCCCCGTGTGACTTATTTTTGTTTCCAAACGTGAAAAAGGCACTCGACGGACAGATCTCGAGAAAACGTATTTTTCAGTTGGGTTAAAGAAGTTGGAGCATTGCTGGGTCAAGTGTATCGAGCTAAAAGTAGACTATGTTGAAAAATAAATCGCTACTTTCCCAAAATTTTCGTTTTTCGTTAGTAGGCTAAGTACCCATCGGATCGCCTTAGTAAGTCTTCTGTAAAATATTTTGTTGGTATATTTTTTAACCCTTTTGGTGCCGCTGTCGCTATAAGTGTCAGATAATGACTTGCGTAGCTGTTGCGCTCGCTTGTAAGCGTTTTATTCACTCACAGTTAGTATGAGCCAATTTGAACGAGATCACGTTAAGCGTATAACCACAGAATAACACAATACACAGATGCGAAACAGTCACTGCAACGCGGCCGTGTACGAACTCATTACTTTATAGCCCCCCATAAAATTATTAGACACTCCGAGATATAGTAAACTGATCACCGGATCCTTTGGAGATAGGTAAACTCATCACCATAGATAGGTAAACTCATCACCAGTATTTTTGCCCCAAAGCGCTGGTTTCTAATGCAAAAGATTGCCAGTTACCTGTACACTTCTCGTTTATGTGGTAATTAATTAAATTCAGATATTATTTTAAACAAATTCTTTAAAATAGATATTAATATTGATTTTTTTTACGGTGTAGCCTATTCGACGTATCTGCCAATCTAAGCGGTTTTGAGATCTGAAAATTAAGCTGCATAGGTTTTCGATAGTAACTTTATAATGAAAATATTTATGGGCATGTGGTGTTTCCGTATATATTGGAAATAGTCGTCAACTTATTAACTAATTAGAAATCTATTTATTATGGCAGAATTAATCACAATGCTTTAGTACAGTCTCCTGGCATTTATAAACGGTTAAAGCCTACTTAAAGAAACATTATCCTGTAAAAACAGGATGGGTACATGTAAACTCTGTAGTTTTATGTACACCATTGTTTAGTACTGTAGAAGCGTAGATACAAAAGTGTGAATATTGGGATGAGAATGGTAAAACTAGTTGAAAAAATAACAATGAAAGGATTCGCATGGAGTTGTGGTGGAATGTATATGGCTAGAATGGGATGCCCGAATAGTTAGAGGGAAAAATACTCATTAATTACGGAGTTCTCTACCACATAATCGGACATTTTCATAAATAAGGGCAAGTTAGGGATATCCGCATGAAATCGTTGACAACGCATCGCAAATAAGTGGTGTAACCAGTTGCCGTTTTAATCTCCCCTCCTGTAAGTGGTAACGTTACATAAATTTTTGAATTTTGCCAATTGAAACCAACTTTAAGTCAAGTGAAATAAACACCCAAATCGGTAAACAGATGGTCGAACGGCAATTACGAAATCAGTCACAAGTCTTATTGAACTTAAAACGACACCAACTTCTTCCGGGCAAGGAATGAATTGAGTAATGCTTATACCAAATGTACCATCCAAGTAATATGCCTATGCTTTCACCATGTATCGTAAATTCTCAAGAATGCCAAAAATAATATTATTTTGTTGCGAATCGTTATCCAACACAAAACATTTATTGCAGTCCGTCTTTAGATTCATCTGTTGAATTGCTTGATCCGCTTTCCCATTGTCTTAGGTACAGGTGACATAAAAGGAAAACGATCGTTGCTCATATTATTTCGAATTCACTAATAATTCTAATAAAATACTAATTTATGCATGTGTTTAGGAAGGGTGTCACCACCATTTTTATGAGTTCGACAGGAAGATTGTCCAATTCAGGGGCTTTGAATTTTTCAGTTTTGAAATGGCCTCTCTAATTTATTTTTTGGTGGGGAGCGACTCAAGCGTTTTTATCCATTTCAGGCAAGGTAATTTCTATTTGGTATTTTTCACGACTGTCGCTAAGCCGTTCTTCAAAATGATCCGCCCACCTATTTAGTATCTGTTTGTTAGTAATTATGGAATCATCTCTGCCTTTACATACTGTTGTTCTGGGTTTGAATTCTTTTCTGTAGCTGTTTAACTTCTGGTAGAATTTTCGCTAGTCTTTTCTGTTGTGGTGGTTAACAATCTCGTTTAGAGCGTTTTCGTATGACTCTTTTTTTTTAACTTCCTTTTTTCTTCTCTTCTAAGATTTTCATAGTCTTCCAGGTTTGATCTCGTTCTGCGCTGCAGAGTCTCTTGTATGCTTCATTTTTCTGTTGGTTGATGGATCTACATTCTTCGTCAAACAAATCTTCGTTTATTATAGCCTGGTTGGAAATTTTAAAAAGCCTTTAGCCGCTGTATGGATAGCTTCCTTGCATTTAGTCCGGTGGTCTTCTATTCTTAAATTTTCATCGATTCTTGTCAGCTCTTCATTTAAAATTTTCCTGTAGTTATCCGTAGCGTCTTCAGATTTTAGCACATCAATATTATATTTTGTAGATTTTGTGCTCTGGCCTTTCTTAGCGTTTGATATATGAGCCCTGAGTTTTGTTGTTACAAGGTAGTGGTCAGAGTCTATATTAGCACCTCTACATGCTCTTACATCTAGTACGTCCTAGAAATGTCTACTTTCAATTAGTACATGGTCAATTTGGTTTTTTGTTTGATCATCTGGTGATTGCCATGTCTACTTACTACCACCATTCCCAATAATGCTGCGAGTTCAATCAGGCGTAAACCATTTTGGTTGCTGACAGCATGAAGACTATGCTCGCCGATCGTCGGTCAGTAAATAGTCTCTTGGCCGACTTTAGCATTTATTTTCCCCATATTTTCTGTCTTTTGGTTTACCCAGTTTCTAAATACACCTTAACTTATAATCATGTATTTTTTGGAAGATTTACTCTTCCAGTACTTAGTTATCTTATGGAATATTAAAAAGCCAGATTGAATGAAGTCGAAATCAGTTTATCATGTTATTTTAGCTCTCTGACTATTTGGAAGCTTTCAAGTCAACAACAATAACGATTCGCACAAAGAATAAACTTCTACCAGTCCTTATAAATAATCAATGTTTCTTTCTATTTTAGGTTTGGCACCTCTAGTTCTACAAGGTTCTTGTACACAATGTACACCTCAAGAACAGAGACAAATCCGGAAGGTTCTAGGATATATGCAGGTCAACTTTCCCAAAGAATGGAATAAAATTTTAAGACAATACGCTGGTTGATTGGATGCAACCAAATTTCAGTATTCTAAACAGACCCAAAGAACATATAAATATTTTATTTTGCAGTATTTTTGTAGTTTCTGTTTGTAAAAAATATATGTATATAATATAAAATCAGATGGACATTATTTGTAATACTAATGTTAAAAATAATTAAATAACTACATAATAAAATATATCCCATTAATAAAGATATTAGATTAAACCTTAAAATCAGATTAATACGCTGCTTTATTACTATATGGCATGGAGAGCTGGACTCTTACAGAAATACTAATGAAAAACTTGAGTCATTTGAGATGTGGAATTACTGACGAATATTGCGGATAGGTTGGGTTGATCGAATGACAAATGAAATAGTTTCACACCAAATTAAAAAAAAGCATATATAAACTCCTTGACAAAATTAACTCATCACTTTTATTAATCTACAATATGAACACAACATAAAACTAAGTTACATTGAAATAATAATAAACACCTACAAATAAGTCCAACATGCCTTCATCATGGCCTTAATTTAGCTTATTGTTTCTTGAAAAATTTGTTTTTGCCGGAAATGCGTAAATAAGCTCGCATAACTCCAAATTGCAAAAAGAAAAAAAATCAGTAAAGTAATACAATAAAATGACTCCTGGTCAACACTTATTCCGTGTAAGCCTTCCTCTACTTCGTATGACTGCATTTATGCGTCGAGGCATGCTTGATATCAAATGTTTAACAAAAGCTTGCGGAATATTCTCCCATAACGGCCTCAATGAGTTGGTTATGATTGGCACTAGGGGTCTACGACGTCGAATCTTTTTTTTTGAGATAGTCCTATATTCATAACCGGACTGTTAGGTGGCTACTCTAATAATATCAACATTATTTAGATAGATAATAACCTGTCGAGCTACATGAGGACGAGCGTTATCTTGCATGTATAAAAAATTAGGTCCCAGAAACGGAGCAAAAGGCATTGCATGATCGACAAAAATATTGTCTAAGTAATAGTGGGCATTCATAGACCTCGTACGAATGGGACCAACTCCGTACGAGCTTCAAAACAAATTCTTCCCAAAACATTTTAGAGCCACCACCAAAAGGTACTTTAGGAGAGATATTGCAGCTGACAAATATTTTTTCTCGCCTTCGCCAGACACGCTTCTGGAGCTGTTAGGCTTACTTTAGTCTCATCGGAGAAAAGAACTCGTTGCCAGTTATCGATGATCCAATTTTGATGCAATCTTGCAAAACTCAATCTCGGAACCCTGGTTCTCTGGTAAGTAAGGGTTTTTTTGCCAGTTTCCTGTTGCTTAATTCTGCTTTATGTAAACTTCTTCTAACTGTTCGAGATTATATCGCGAAATCGGCTAGAGTTTATTTTTTAGCAAATTTCTGGTGACTCTTCTATCCCTGAGAGCATGTTGTCTTAAAAAAAGATCATCAATTTCATTATGTCGCTTCACCTTGCGACTGATGCTGAAATGATGTCCTCCTAACAAACCTGCAACGTATCATTTTTTATTTGATTTTGATGCAATTTCTTCGAAAGAATCCGAGATTTCTGTGTCACTGGGTATATAATCATCTAATATTCCAGAATTTGCATAAGCGTCGTCCATTCCTAGGTCTTCATCTTACATAAGCTCTTCGTATAAACTTACAAATTTGTTTGTTCTTTTTCGTAGGAATCCATCGAAAAAATTCGTGTAATCTAACATTTTATGGTAAACTCATACAATAACCGTACGCAAAGAGTACCGAACAAAGAATGACTCAGAATATAACGTCAAATACTTCCGTTGCTTCATACAAGAATGAACAAGTTTGAGGCATCACGTAAATGCCACGCTGTCAAGACAAACTTATAGTTCCCGGACAGCGATGCATCGATGTGATGCCTCAAAAATGTTGTGCAATAACGCGATTGTCAAAGGCATCCACGACTCCCGTCTTATTTACAAAAAATAAAATGCTGACCAATGGACAAGAAAAAAAATGATAACACCAAGGCTGAACGTGTTAAAATTACTGGAACCGTGGCAATCTTTAAAATTCGATTATCTCGAAACTTGGTTTTGGAAGACACGACACTTGTCATTTCAGGGTGCGATAAATAAAAAAGAAGAGGTGTTGTTTTATGTGTATATGGTGTTATTTTTTATGCCAATCTATAATTTACTAGTATTTTACGTAAAGGTAATACAAAATATGTATATTTCATAATAGCATTGATATATGCATAATGGGTATGTTTTATACCGTAATTTGAGCTTGTTAACATTGATATAAGGGTTGAGAAATTTATGCCCGCAATTAAAATTTTCCATAAATCATATCGTGCTTGTCTCTCCCCGAGGAAACTTATTATAACCTCCTTCGTCGGTTGAGCTCCACTTGAACCAGCCACGTTTTAATAAATTAGTCGTATTTGGGGGAATATTAAAGTAAACAAATTTTGTTGCTGTTATCACGAGACCGACGTCGACGCCGCCAAGCGATGCATAAGAACGTTGGGATGACGACGTATTATTTAATATGTCATTAGGGGCGCTATGCTGTTTAATTCCGTAAGTCGGGCAAATCCGTAAGTGGGATGGTGTTTGTGTAAACAAGATTTTCTAAATAGATTTTTGTTGTAAGTCTGACATTGTACTATATGTAGAGAAAGGCATAAAATATATTATAATATTATAAATTCAGAGAATATAGAAAATTAGGTCACAATTTCAGTTTAAATGCCTATCAGATGTTAGTTAATAATATTACATTTTCAGCAAAAATAACGCTGGTTCATTGTTGCAAGGTTCTATGTTACATTTTATATTTACGGAGAAAATTAACTCTAAAATATTTAATATTTAATTCAATATAACTTTTTTTTAAACTAAAGATTTCAGTATACATTAGTAGACTACACTATAATTCACAGCATAACTTTCACGTGATTGGTTGGTGGGTGGGTTCAAATTTAAAAATGGGCGGGTTTCATGTTTATTAAAATGACAATTGAGGTATTGTGTCACAGTATATCGCTAAAGAATTTATTAACAATATACTGTTGTATTGGTACAAAGCGGATTAGGTCATTTTTTATTAAGATTTAGAGGTTTCTCTTATTATTTTTATTTTTAGAACATTAATATTCTCATTAGCTTTCGTTTTCTTTTCTGTTCTCTTCCAGGGACTAAGAACCTCTCCGCTTTTTGCATGAGATTATGGTTTTTCAGAAACATGCAATTTCTGTTCATCCCCTTTTTAACTGCCCCACATTCAGTACCATACATCATAGCTGATCTAAAGGCAGTCCTATACAACTTATCTTTTAGTGTTCTTAGTACAGTTTTTAATCACAAATCACTTAATTTGCCTCTTTACTTTACCTTTCATTGAAATATTATAGATAAAACGGTAATACTGATCCTAAAAGCCGAATATTATCGTCTTTATGAGTTCTTGTCTATCCAAGCCAACTACAATATCTGGACTTAAAATTTCATTTTTAAAAAATATTCTAAATATTTTGTTTCTATCCAACTTAATTTTAATCCTTTTTCTTCAAGGACCTGTCTCCGCTCCTCTCGTCTTTTCTGCTAATACCAAGGAGGTTCAGTTGTTATCTAATCCAGCACAAATGAGAATAAATATGGGCGAAACCCTGATGAAGCCCTATTTTCACACAAAATTTGCCAGTTTCACCTGCAATCGTTCTAACACTATAATATTTGTTCTAACTATAATAGTTCTAACACTATTATAGTTGTTACTTGGTCATACTCCACTCACATATTCAGCCAGCACTCCTTTCCTACTTAATCTCTGCCACAGTAGATTTCTGATAACTTCATAATGTGCCTTTTCAAGATTAATAATACTTTGTGCAGCATCTCTTTCACTCTAAATTGTTAAATTAGCTGTCTTTTAATAAAAATTGCTGTTGTAGACCTACCTTGCCTAAATTCAAATTGACATTTATCCATTTTCATTTTTTAGACAATTCTGTTAGATTTCAACACAAATTTAGGATAATAAAAGTGCAATGAAAAATTGTCATTTTCAACAAAATGAAGCTGAGGTTTTCTAAAAATAACTATTGCAAACCAAATACAACACTAAGTAGCTATGTTTAAAATGTCTTTATTCTTTATTAAAAATCTGGGAAATCAAAGGAGGGCGAGGGCCGTTATTTGTGCAATGGCGAAGGAAAACCCCTCTAAACCTCGCCTTGCGTCAAGTACATCCCGATTTAAAAATACAATTCTAATATAAAAGTCTGCAAATAGCTTTATAACCTCACTACTTAACACAGCTTTAAAATTCAGGTTTAAGCTAAGCATTTATACATATATTTTCTGAAATTTTACTATATATATTACTAATCAAGTAAACATATAATAATGTTAAGTTAACTAACTTTCTTGTAAATAAGCGTATAAAACTATAATAAAAATTTAATACAGATACAAAAACACAATATACATGTGAAATACAAGAATAGTTCTAATTTAATTTTTAATGTTTCTTTTTTTATTTAAAGGAAAATATTCCTGCTTTTCCATTTTCCGCTTTTTTGTAATATTGTAACGATTTTAAATGTTATGGCGTATAGAACTGTAAATATTTTATGACTAATTCTTTTGTATTGATTCTCGTAATTTCTAGGTCAAAAATCTACCTGACAAACAACAATCGAATGTTCTGGGGGCGACAAGCCGATAAAGAACATGTTTTGAGACCAGTCGCCGCCGTGTCTACGTCGAGATCGAGAACGGCATCGTATTTTCTACAACATTCTGTTACAAGCTGGTTTCATATAAATACCGGAAGATTTTCATTGAGGAGTTAGTCATAAGAAGATCGGTAAACGCGGTGTTTAAATGTAACGAAACGTGAAATAAATACATTTGTAAAGTTATTTAATAAATTAGTAATTAGCTATCGTGAGTTTTAATAAATTAGATTGTAGACAATAAATTAGAATAAAGACAAATAAATTAGAACTATATAAATTTAGCAGTGGTGTCAGAAGTGGGATCGTAGATAAATTTAATTTGATTTTTGAAAAAGACTTTTGAACTTTTGAAAGGTATTGTTCGTCGGGAACATCCGCGTAGTTCAGTAGTGATCGTTGTACGAAAGAACATTTAAAAAGTACGTGTGTGCCTGACCAAAGATGCTGCTAGTAGAACTTTCAGTGAAACAGTTG